TTTTGATGGATGACTTGCATCTTTTATCGATACAGTGTGCTTGTTCTTGTATGTACAATCAAATAGCACATCAGAATTTACTTTTTGTTACAAAATCGTTTTTATTACGGGCACATAAGATGCCTGTGTTTAGCTCGATAAACTATCGTCTGTATATTAACCTAATGAGATCATAAAACAAATGCAATCTATGATCTTAAAACAAAACAATGCCTACAATAAAGTTTCAATTACGGCGTAATTATCTATTAAGGCCACCCGCTAATCTCACTAAAGTTCAATAGGAAGTGCTCCAAGTAAGCGTAAGGTTAATATCATTACCATTGACACACAACGCACCAACCATTATTATAACTGTACCCATTGTTGAGTTGCGTCATTGTCAATGAGTCGTTGGGACCTAACTCAATCTCATAGAAGTGCACCTCAATGAAAACTGTGAGAATGTTCTAGACACAAGGAAAAATACAGAAATCATTAGCATTTTTCGACAGTAAAAAGTTTTAACTTGCCATTCGAATGTAAAGTAAAAGTTGTACTGAATTCAACATTCCCTGTATTTATTCTATTATGCTTCATCTAATGAAATTAAACTAACTTCCCGAATAGTTTTAGAATCTAACAATAATACCCAAAGATTTCTAAAGTCTTTGAATATCCCTTAAAGTTTTCCTGAAGCAATCCTGAAATATTCTCTAAGCCTCTAAGCCCATAAGTACCACCGAGTTTAAACATCCTGGCATACCGAGTTTAAACACCTATTTCAATCAACGGTTAATATTGTTTGGTTATCCTCAAGGACGTCTTACTTAACCTGACTCAACCAGCAAAGGGTTAGGTTCCGAGAATCAGAAACCGTAACCGCCGAAAGTCCCGGAACGCATGTCGAACTCGACACGGTCGAAAAACTTGCTGGAAAAAAGCACGACGAGCAACTTATTAGACATTAAACTAATCATTACGTCATGGAATCAAAATAGAGTTTTTTTTAAACATTGTACTATTGTTAGTGGTCACTGGTCAGTATTGCATAATTTGCTAGGATTTAATAACGATGCTAAATACTTGTACAAAAAATTTTAATTGCGTAATCACCTGATATGACTTCAGTAGTTTATTGGCCAAACAGAGAAATACTAAATCTGAGATATTATTCGTTCCGACGATCTGATAAAGGTAGCAGGAAGGCGCTGGATGCAGGCCGCTACCAACCGTGCGATGTGGAAGTCATTGGGGGAGGCCTATGTTCAGCAGTGGACGTCCTGTGGCTGAAATGATGATGATGATGATGATGATTATTCGTTATAGTTAAATTATGTGTATGGTAAAAAAGAAAACCAAATCTTGCTCTATTATACACTCAAATGAGAATGTATTTAAAAATCATTAAAAATTCCTTGCGCTGTTAAATGTTTCAACAAGTTTTTGTCGATGTTTATACCAGTAACTTCTAATTGGCCCCATGAATCCAATTGATCTAATACATCGTAACTGATTGCATATTCACGAGCCCACCGCAATACGGAAAACCCCTGATTGTCTTAACACTCGGTGCTCCTCAAGATTAGATCTGCAAAATGTCCACATAATTCCTTCACGGCAATGGCATTGAGTCGCGTCATCGCGTGGCCTACTTGGGGGTAACGGGATCTCAAGTCCTGACGGCGAGGCGCCGGAGTTGACAGGACAAGTAAGACAGACAGTTTGTTAAGTGCCAAATATTGGTCTAAACTAAATAAAGATTTTTCTTTTTTTTTTAAATGGAGCAAGAGAAAAAGACTTATCAGTGGGAAAGTTTTGTGTCTAAACATTGTTCTAAATTACTACACCGTGTCAGTTGCATTTCCTACGAACAAAAAAATAGTGCATTTGATGCCATTTACCAAAAGTTCCAAAGCACAATTTTTCTAAAAAGTAAATTACTTTTCAATCAACTCGAAAATTGTGAACTCGTATTTTAAATAATTATGTTCATTGTGGAAAAAGCTGAGAAAATCATGATAGAGTTCTACTAGAGAAGCATATCATGAACACTTTACCAAGTGAGCTGTTTGGGTTTTTTGAGCTATGCTATATCTGCAACGTCACAACAACAACACTTCGCTAATAACCCTGTTACGTTTTGGACTTAAGTAAGTCTTTAAACCTCATTTCATTAACATAACGATACAAGTAGACATAATGAGGCTACAAACTGGCTCATACTTTAGTTTGAAATATTTTGGAAGTCGTTTTAAAATCAATTGTTTTGTAAGTGATATTTGTGATCTAAATCCATAATATTTATGATGATTGTCATTATACACCTATAGTTCATAAGTTGTTGTTGTTTATTTTTTTAGTAGATAAATGAACTGATTTAATGCTGCTATTGAAAATGGTATTCGTAAAAACTAAACTTTGGTGCACCAAAAAGTTTAATCAAAGTCGATAATTGATTTTCTTAAACACGAGGGTTAAGCAACAGGCTGGATGAAGTCTAAAATAATTTGCAAAATGAAACTTTACTCGTAGATATTATGATGTTTTCTTACAAATACTGTTACTTGTCAAGTCTATAATTTATAGAGTGGCTGTAGGACTGGTTTATCAGAGATAACTAGTAACATTTAATTTGATTTTGTAATATTGATAATAATAATAAGTAGGTCGAAGTTGAACGCACCTTTCCAACTCTATTGGCACGGCTCGGTGGCAACTCTATCGTGCTAATGGATCTGAGGTTTGATTCCAGTAGGGTTTTTTGGATTAACTATGCTGCTAGACAAATAACTCTATAGAAAACTAGCGGCCGCCCGCGACTTCGTACGCGTGAATCCCGTTTTTCCCGCTAATTCCCGTTCCCGTGGGAATTTCGGGAATTCCTTTCTTAGTGCACCTCTACGGTACCTAAGCTACGTCCCTTCCAAATTTCAAATGCCTACGTTTAGCCGTTTAGGCTGTGCGTTGATCTGTCAGTCAGTCAGTCAGTTTCTCCTTTTATATATTTAGATAATTTATTTCACATATCTACACGTATTATATTTTCTAATTCTCTTCCTATGTATGTTGCCTGTTTGTTATGATATGTTAATTTTGTGCCCTGTTTTATTAACTGACCTGTCTCTTAGTATAAGAAAAATATTTTTTTAAAATACGACAACCACTAGAAAACTTCATACAACCTTGAATTTTCCTTTGAATATTGTAAAAAAGCGCCATCTCTACCCTTCCGCAGCAACTAAATCGTTTTTATGTTACACCAGTTAATACCACGCAACAGCACAACCTCGAGAGTTGGCAGACAACTTAGTTCAAGAAAACTATCACAGAGTGCGCCAGTGGTAACAGAAAATTTAATTTTCCGACTGCGTGGAGGAAATATTTATTACAATAACAATGTAAATACTTTATTATGATATTCTTTACATTCCCTATAGTCCTATAGCCTGTATTATTTGCAGTTTTGCCAATTTTGCTGAAGTAGGTACTTAGTTTTTGCAAACTCTACAAGATTTTGTACTTTATACTTACTTACCTATTCAAATGATTTTGCAATGTATAAAATAGCATAGATTTTCATAACAATTAAGTACCAAATTCATAAACAAATAACTGTTTACTTGTTCTAAGCCAAAATCTGCCTTCTTAAAGCTCTACATTTTCATTTGTTTTCGGATTAATGATAGATCGCCCGGTNGTGCACTTACCGGTTTTCCTTGCAGTATATTTACGTAGTTATAATGTTGCTTATGTATTATTTTGCTACTTAACACGTATAAGTAATAAGAGGTCAGTATTCAGATGCAGACGGATAGTAATTAACCTCATTAACACGATCAAAAACAGGCAGCGAGTCCCTGTTATCTTTTTTTTAAATACATTTTTGAATTGGTATTGTAGTTACCTCGATTAAACGGTGAACTTAACAATTATAAAGTTATTATTAAACAAAGTAAGACCTTTTTCATGGTACATCCATCCGTTATAAAATCTTATTCTGTTGAAGTAAGAAGGCACTTTACTTACTTTTAAGGATGCCTACATTTCAGTTCTGAGGGCTTTGAAAACCTTATAATAAGCATCGTAAGTTACCCCCTTATTTATAAAAAAAATAAGTAATTATTTTATCACCGTTTGGTTGTTGCAGTTATTCTCATCAGTTTTGATATTGGTATAGGGAGAGTTCTTTCTCCTACTTGTAAGGTTTTATTGTGACCTTTATTCCGCCTGGCATAACTAACTAGCATAATTATGCTAGTTATTATTATTTATCATAATCAGTGATAATGTTATAAATCAGTAAACAAAACGACGATTGATTTACGAAGACAAAATAATATATTTGTTTCACAACACGGCATACAAGGTTCAAATTTTGTTCATCAAACAGTAACCAATCTANCCTGCAAGAGGTCAGTATTCAGATGCAGACTGATAGTAATTAACCTCATTAACACGATCAAAAACAGGCAGCGAGTCCCTGTCAATGTCCCTGTATCTTCTTTTTTAAATAAATTTATGAATTGGTATTGCACTTATCTCGAATAAATGGTGAACTTAAATGTTAATTCTTGTGATATTAGGTAGGTACTTAACAATTAATTACTAAATTTATTTTTTAATATTAAGTAAGATTTTATCATACTTAGTACACCTATCCTTAGAAATCATAATATTCTACCAAAGTAAGAAGGCACATTTCTGAAGGCTTTGAAGACCTTTAAGTATCGTAAGTTACCTCCTTTATAAAAAAATAAGTAATTATTAAAATTATACCACCCTTTAGTTGTTGCAGTGATTTTCATCAGCTTTTATATGGGTATAGGGAGAGTTCTTTCTCCTACTTGTAAGGTTTTATTGTGACCTTTATTCCGCCTGGCATAACTAACTAGCATAATTATGCTAGTTATTATTATTTATCATAATCAGTGATAATGTTATAAATCAGTAAACAAAACAACGATTGATTTACGAAGACAAAATAATATATTTGTTTCACAACACGGCATACCTACAAGGTTCAAATTTTGTTTATCAAACAGTAACCAATCTAATCTTTTGAGCGTCGATCTGTAACTCTATCTCGCATATCTGGTAGCATGGCGTCGTCGTTTTACGGGAAGCCACAAATATCATTTTCGCATTACACGACGGTTTCTCATTGACATCGTCGTAAACGAATCCCAAGTTGAAGGAGAGACCTGGCGGCACCCGCTTGCACCTCGACAAAGACAAGTTTATGTACTTGAGCTGTTCCAAATCCGGTATCAGTTTGTAAAGCTTGATGTACACCGGCTCTAGCGTCAAGTTGCAAAACTTTATATGCTGTGTCGTAACGCCACCACGCTTGTATTCGATTCTATACGGATTCGGATATGAAATGAGCCTGTTCTCGCATATGTATGACGCCGTTTTTCGAAGAGGGCTCGAAAAATATTTTGAAATTTCAATGAAACGCTCGACCTCAGATTTGAAGGCTTCATTGCTTTCGTACTGTTCCTGACTCTCTTCAGCTAACTCCGCTTTTGTTTCTTCCTTGATCGGCTGTGATTCTAAACTTGCGGTGGATTTCTCTATCTGGGGCATATAATTCACTGGCCCCGGAATCGGTCGCCCTTTCTTGTATGGTGGTGATGTGGGTTTTGCTCCTTTTTGCTTTTGATACATATTTTGCTCCTGAAATAATAAATTACACCTATAATTTTGTTTCTGACACTAATGACATTAGTTTGTTTTTACAGCTGATCTGAAATGAAAAAGGTTGCCTTACCTAGATCCTAGCTCCTCAAATATGTGCTTAGGGTTTTAGCACTGTCTTGGAGTTCTTGATATTTACACAATTTAGAATTTATCTAAATTGTCTCTAGACACTTTGTAACAGTTAATTTATTAAGGCATTAAGACTAAGTGACTTTTAACTCTTGTTTGTAGAGACTCAATTAAAGTAATTCTTAGTATTTTAGACTTAGTTTTTTTTTTCCTTAATATGTACTTATTTCTAGGTACCTACGTAGACTTGTTAACCTTAAAACAACTTACCCAGCAGATTTTAGTGACGTTGCTAATGGTGGCATTAACCTCAGCTATGAGACCATTAAATAGCATACTTATCATCAGAAATTTGCTGCTCTATAAAATAAACAACCCCACTTCCTGGCAAACCTGTTGATTTTTTGCAATTTTTGCTATCTAGCATGTTTAGAAGTAGTAAGCTAAATAATAATTAACCGTCTCTTTTCACACTCTCTTCAAATGTCACAATTTATTTTACTTCTGTATGGACTTTAGTATGGACTACGCTACGTTGAATAGGCATCAATTTACAAGGCTAGATACTTAGGACTAAAATATCTAGACATTTAAGTACCTTTATTCAAATAACCTGTTTTCTAATATATTCTTCACATAGCCAGATAATGTGGGTCATAAATACATAAGCGCGATGCAACTGGTAGTGTTCGTTACAAATGTATTCGTATAGAAATACACGTGCCAATAGCAGAGGTACATTGAACTTTATAGAATGTCAATTGATTGCCGCCAGGAATAATCTATATAAATTACAAATAATCGTTAATTACTCAATATAAGGTGGGTGGACCATGGAAGGCCACGCTCCTTTGAAGGCCAACTATCAAAAAGTCTTAGTTATTGACATGTAAACACATATTCTTTCGGCTATACACTAAGATCCAACATACTTAAGGCCACAGATGCGGCGGCGAGTCGCTCGCGCCGCTATTGTGGCAGTGCGATCTCACGCTTCGTAGACTTCGGTCGTCGACGTTACAATTGTTATTCGCGCGCACAGCAAAACGTAAATTTTTAGTTAGATAACCTATTATTATTTCATATTTTTTTATTGTGAATTGTCGTATAAGGATATGTTTATGGTACTAAAGAAAAAAAATATAGTTTTGACCCGATTTAAGTTAAAATATTGGTAGTGTTCCCAGGAAAGCCAATGGTTCCTTATAAGGCCAATCAAAAATTTGACTGTTGGCCTTGCTAGGGTACATGGGCCTTACAAAAAACATGTACAAACCATGAACATATGAACAGTTACTTTTTAGTTATAAATACGTACCGTTACAGTTAAAACAATGTTTTATATTTATAATATTTTTATTTATAAGGGTTATTAAACTTTTACTCATATTAACTCATTTTGGCCTTACAAAGAGCGGACCCATAAGAAGGCCATTTGAGGTAAAAAAAAAAGTTTTTAATTTCATTATAATACGCGTTGGCAGGTTATTTGATGTCGATATAATACTCATTACTACTGTTTTTAAATAATTTCCATTAATATATTCTTAGTTATACGATGGTGTTCAAGTAATGTTCGTTGAGTTTTTTATAAATGATAAAAATATATTGAGCATTTAATGTTTTGCTTAAATGAAAGAGCTTATTATGTAGTTTTAGTAAAAGCGAATATATTAATTGTTTCAACTCTATTTTTAAGTTGAACGACTGATGCGCAATATTGGCCTTGTTTGGAGCCGTGTTCCTTGCAAGGCCATTTGGAAGAGCTTAACAAAACTTAAGTTTAATGAATACTGATTAAAAATAAATAAAATAAAATAAAATAAGCCTTTATTGCTGTTAATTTTTTTAACTTATTTCACTATACATAATATTACAAATTATAACTAGAGGTAAGAAAAAAATTCATTTAAACTAAATGGTATTTTCGGCATTCGGCTTATCTCTCCTCTTAACAGCTTGTCTTTCGACAAAGGCCTCCTCTAAGGATTACTTGCTTCAAATCGTCTTCCCATCTCTTTGGTTGTCTTCCTCTACTTCTTCTGCTTTCTCTAGGGTACCATTCCGTAATTATTCTGGTCCATTTCTCTTTCTTTTCTCTTAACATATGTCCTGTCCAGCGCCATTTTAATTTCCTGCATAATGATTGTACTTTTCCAAACTTTGTCTTCCCTTTGATCTTTTTTAATTGCATTTTATCCTTTCTTCTCACTCCTAGAACGCTTCTCTCTATCCCGTTCTGACATATCGCACCCTTAATAATGAATGGGCACAACTCCAAAATTCAGTTTTTTGGGAAAAGCCAAAAAACCAATCGGCGGATCGCGGTTTTTTACATAATTGGCTCCAAAATCTTTATTTTATCAGCTACAACTTTCAAATTAAGCATACTTCATCACTGGTATCTGTTATATAATTTGACATGAGACATTTTTGAAAATATGGATTATGAGTATGAAAAAAAATTGTTTAAAAAAATATTTCAAAGTTAGGCCTTTATTTTACTATTTCTGTTGTTGTGATTTTGGGTATTACTTGTACTTGTGCCCATCTAATCCGTAAGCTGAATCGTTCTATATGGCATATTCCCTAATATTGCTCTCTAATATTTAAAAATAAGTGTATTATTCGATTTTTATATTGATTTACGCCCAATAACATTGGGGACAGTTATTGTGCGGTATAGTAGCTTATAGCCAATTCAGTATAAGAGTAGGGTGCTGAATACTAGAAAATTATTAGATATGTCGAATTAGATTAAAATAACGACTATTAGCTATTTCTCTGAGAAAACCGACATGAAAATACTAATTTTATGCATTCAAAATATTTTTACTTAGATAGATAGGGACTCTTACCAAAAAAAATATGCTTTTTATCAAATAAACAAAAAACCNCGATCTATCATTAATCAAACATTTTTATACAAGGATTAATAAAATTGTTATGTAGCCTTAATAAATAACGTATCATTGTATCAGTGTAACGATAACAAGCATGTAAAGTACATTACTTGCTAATCATCATTATGCGTAATTTTCCAGAACTATATTGAAATGTTCCGACGCGTGCACTTNATTTTAATTATCTCTTTATTTTGTATAATAAATATTTCATAGATCAGTAGTAATTTTCCTTATTTTCATACTTTTTTTTGCGTTCCGCTAAATCTGCCGGTGTGTGTATTATTTGATAATTTGTTTTTTTCATTTATCCAGTTAATAAAGGAATAAAAAGCGTTTACTCGTTAGAGTGGCCTTCCATGGTCCACCCACCTTACTATTGCTTACAAAATTCAAGGACGACGCACCTATGTATTCGACAAGTTTTCAAAAAAATATTGATGGTGACCGACGAATTTCTAATCGTAATAATTTTCACAACGGGTAAATATAGGTAATACAGGAAAAATTTAAAAAAATCGTTATTCCACATGGGCAGAACCGCGAGCGGTAGCTACTCGTAGCATTAATAAAGGCAAGGTTTTGATTTTAGCAGTTCTAGGTAACCTCTCTTTCAGAGCCGAAGGGCATTTATTTCCAACAACTTTTACATAAAAGAAACATTGAAAACTTATGTGTACATACCATTTAATTAAAATCACGATCTACCTTGCTGATAATTGAACATTTTTGTCTCAATTTTAATGTCAACCATATTTAACGTTTGAATTAAACGTGCGTATAGCCTGACCAGGAACATAAAAACCCTGGCATAGAGGCGCTTCAATTGCATTTGATAGTGCAACACTGGGTACAGTCGTTCCTGTATTAAATTAATAGGCTAACTTTATGTATCAGGATTCAGGATTATAGGCTTATTTAATATTTTCATAAATTAACAAAAACATATTATATTATAGGTAAACTGGTTTAAATAAATTAAATGAAACCATCAATCAAGTAGGATTTTATTATTATTCATCAATAATCAAATTCTGAACTTGAATATTCAACTACAATGTCTGCTCATGAACGCTTCAAACTCGGTACTTCTTTCCCAATTCCATAAAATTCAATACTTACAAAGTGACAAAAAACTTTAAAATAGGTAGTTGAAACAAACCACAGCTAATTTTCATAGTTGACTGTACTATACGATAAACATGTCAGTCAATTTGACAACCTTTGTCGGAAACATTATTCAATGAAAATATTGTCCGAACCCTTAGTATTTCTCTTCGACAAATACTTTAACACATTGTGAACCACTTTTCTTTCACGACTATAAAAAGATTTTAGCAATTTAATTCACAAAATCAATTGCGCACATTTAAAATAAAGTTTGTTTACACTTTGACAGCAATAGACTGACATGCAAGGTGACATGTCAATGAAGTTTTCAGTTACTGTTGCCATTAAAAGAAATTAGTACCATTAATTTTCCGCAACATGGCGAGGGTTTTTATGTTCCTGGTCAGGCTATAACTAATAATTTGCATATTATTAACTTTTACAGTTTAATTGTGCTACTCGTAAATTCTGATAATTTCTTAGATAACTTAGATTTTGTACATAATCATTGTACATTTAAAACAAAAAAAATATAGTAATGCATCTAACCTGGGTATAGAACCTCAGAGTCAAGAATCCAACTTTATCCACTCTTACACTGGCTGCCGGGTAAAGAATGGAAACCTTGATGTAGCTTTAAAAAACAGGCATTTTTGTTGATAAAGAACACTATAATGTATTTACGATATTTTTTCTAAGTTTTCATTGGTTTTAGTTTGCAAATATCAATGACTAGACTTAGCCTAATGTGTTAATCCAGGGTGTCAGCTATCTCCATACCAAATTTTATTAAAATCACTTTAGCTGTTTAGACGTGAAGGAGTAACAAACATACACACTCACAAACTTTCGCCTGTATAATATTAGTGTGATTTTGTACCACTCGTTTTTCCA